CACAATGTTACCACGCGATGCTACACAATCGTTTACCACGCGACATGCTATACAATGCGTTACCACGCGATGCTACAACAATGTTAAAAACACGAGCGATCTAACCAATGTTGCCACGCGATGCCCTTACACAATGTTACACGCGATGCTACACAATGTTACCACCGATGCTACACAATGCTTACACGCGATGCTGACACAATGTATAGCACGCGATGCTACAAATCGTTACACGCGACTGCTACACAACTGTTACACGCGACTGCTTACACAATGTTACCACGCGATTGCTCACAATTTACCACGCGATGCTTACACAATCGTTAACCCACGCGCAGGCCTAATACAATATACCACGCGATTGCTAATACAATGTTACCGACGCGAATGCTAACACAATCGTTATACACCGCGATGCTATACAATGTTACCACGCGATGCTTACTACAATGTTGCCACGCCGATGCTACACAATCTTACCACGCCGATGCTACACAATGTTACACCGGATGCTATAGCAATGTTACACGCGATGCTACACAATGTTACCACGCGATGCTATACAATGTTACCACGCCGAGTCTATATCAATTTGCCACGCGCGATGCCTATACACAATGTTACCACGCGATGCTACACAATTTGACTGCGCACGGCCCGGACAATTGCAGGATGTAAGACAGTTGACATAGACGGAGCAGAAATGCACATCGACTTTCCCAGCATCCGATCCCGTCGACGAATCCAGAGACGCAGCCGAACAACCGACGCCATCCTCGACGTATGACACACTCTCGCTGGTACGAACCGGTGGCGCCACGCAGTGCGGTGACGCCAAAAAAGCTGTTTCCGGTCGTCATCGGAAGCGACCCCCACGTTCCGCGTCGGCTGGCACTGCTTCCTTGCGGAGCGAGAGCCGGAAAAATTCGCCAGGCTGTGGAGCTGTCGTGATATTGGTTGCTAGGCCGATCATAGTCACCTGTGTGACTGGTTCTAGGATACGAGTAATCCATGATGTGGTTGTGTAGCGCTCTGAGTACCATCGTGATTGGTTGTTAGGCTGTAGGAATACCAGTGTTTGGTTACTAGGTGACAGAGTACAGTGTGATTGGTTGCGGCTGGGAATACCACCGTGCATGGTTGCCCACATTGTGGAATACGTTGGGATTGCACTGATGGTTGCTAGACTGTAATATAATAATCTGTGATTCGCGTGCTAGACTGTTAGAAACCGTCCCGCTGATTCGGTGCTAGACGGCTGGAATACTGTCTCGTGACTCATTCCGGCTGCGCGCACCCCAACCCAAAGCGGCGTAGGATTATGTGTTATTGCGGTGCAATAATACATGTGACTCATGCATAGCGCTATCTACCTATCTGCAAATGCACCCGTTTTTTCTACTGCGCGCATGGCCTATAGAAGACTAACCGTAGTGAAGATATTAGTTTACAAGCTAGTGATATGGGGCGGGATGGGATGTTTAGACTGTATTACGGTGGCCCATTGTATCGAATTAAGCGAAATTTTGTGGTCAGCCCAGGGGGGCGCGCGAGTGAAACCATGATATCATGATTTGTGCTGCAGCCCACACGAGTGTCCACCTGTCGTGAGCGTAGTGCCGATAGCAAGTAAGTACGCAATACTCGGTCATGCAGACATAGGCTGTTCTTCTGCCGTTGGACGACATCGCCAAGCGGCCAGTTGGCTAAAGTTCCTCATCAGCTTATGAATCTCTGGGAGCCCTTAATGAATCAACGCTTCAGTGCATTGTATCCGCCCCCTTTTTTGCGTACGCAATCAGCCTGCACATATCACTTTCTATCTCTTATCTCTCTCTCTTCTCTCTCTCCTTCTCTCTCTCTCTCTTTCTCTCTCGTTTGTCCTCTCTCTCGTCTCTCTCTCTCTTTTCTCCCCCCGTCTCTCTCTGTCTCTTTCTTCTCTGCCCCCTCCCCTCTGTCTCTTCCCTCATCGCCTCTCTCTCTCTCCTCTTCCCCCTCTCTGTTGATGTCTCTTCCCCCCTCTCTCTGTCCTTCCTCCCCTCTCTCGTGCCTCTCCCTCCGTCGTTACTCACACAAGATCCTGATTACTACCCGCAGACTTTTTAACTATACGACCGGCCTACTTTTTTATTGATGCCGATAATCGCTGTTTTATCTACGAGCAGTATTTGCGGAGATTTTCTTCCTGGCGCCTTGGCGACACTTTGTGCGGCAGCCCACCCTTCAACCTCGTGCGTCGTGCTCTGTCGCCTTGAATGCCCGATCTTTTTTCAGTATCGTAACGAATAGAATTAGTGACGTTATTTAGCGTGGCACTAACATATCTGATTTCATATGAGGAATATATCTTTGCATGTTCGCTTAGTTTATCTATTTTTTTGTTTGTAGGCTAATGAGGTAGTATTGAGTACAATGCAGTACGATGTTTACCGATATGTTTAAAGCGATAGTAGACTCTAGGTTTTACTGCGATATAACTGCTATTATATTCTCGCATATAACAAAATCGTCTATACCACACGGACTTTTGTTACCAATACCTAATTTGATTGTATATAATTAATTACACATCAACCGCTACGAAGATCTTGAACGCGCGCCATGACACCCGCCGCACGCTGCTGCCACCCTGAAAAAGTTGCATATTTTGCCAAATTTATTTTGCACGTTACAGACCGAGGGCTAATCACAATTTAAGGATGCAATTATATTCATACCTAAATGCTATCTAACCGAACGATGTTCATTTTAGGACAAATTTATCCATAATAATAATAATATCCATAATATAAGATATTGCAATCCTTTTGCTTTTAAATTAATAAATAAGAAACACCCTCGGTCTGTAGCCCTTGGCTGGAAAGTGGTTTCGCGTAACTTATCAGATCGTGCGCTTTGAGTGGCGCCACCGTCGTTGTAATCAAACTGTAGTCGTTAGTTTTAAAACATTTTTTAATAATATTTCTAATGGTGATTGAACCATGAGACTTTTTATGTAGTAATTTTAACCTAAATTAACTGAAAATAACCCTAGAACTAAGAGTAAACTATCCCTTTAAGCTCATAGGGTCTATGTTCCCCAGGATACTGCCGGAACGTACTTTGGGTACGGTCCGGTATACCGGAACGTACCCTAGCTGGTAACTATCTGATATGGTTAGGGTTAGGGAGTAGGTGTAGGCGACTCCCTAGACTCGTTAGTGGAGTAGGCGAGGTACGGTCCGGCATATTAGATAGTACCAGGGTACGTTCCGGCAGTACCCTGGGTGACGTAGACCCTCTCAGCGCATGTTAAGGGTATTATCCATAAAGCCGTGAATGACTATACTTAAATATTGATTCTCACGCCTGAACACATCCTATCGAGTGTAAACAATATAAATACCGGCATGTATGCAGAGATTGGCACGTTGAATGTAAATTTGACCTTTTCACCTTGTCGAAATTTAATGGTATCGGAAACCATTTACTCCTCTGTTAACCTCTGAAAGGCAGACGGTTCAGTATGTTGCTAGTCCGCACGCCAGCAAGGGCGAGTGGCTCTGTCAGACAGGGTAAGATAATAGATAATATAGCCAATTATGCAAGAAACACCCTACGTACCCTGCTTCGTGGAGCACGTGTATATGAATTTCAAAGTGTCTAGTGCCTTGGTGTGAATAAACAATGTGTGTGTATTATGTTAATTTGATAAGCACCGTTCGCCCTTCGGCGAAATAGTGCGACTCTGTAATAACGATTGCGTTTGTGTTGTTTCTTTATTAGTTTTTTTGTTTGTTAACAAAACTCGTTCGTGCATTTCTTGCTTTGCGGCCAAGCTGCGCAGTGTGACTGTTTGCGACATCTTGGTGTTTGACTGTAATTAACAAATCTTTGTTTTGGTAATAGACCAGGGTGTGACATTGCATCGGGCAGTTAGTAAATGAATTTGTTAACGTTGCCATGCTAACAATTCTCTCGCATTTGCGAAGATGTATTCACATACTCATGTTCACTTGTGCGGGAGAATATCATAGTTACAATTAACTAATTGGTTTGATTGGAAGATAATAATAATTATTCTGTATGGCTGTTATTATATGATATAAGTGGGAAGAGCATGCATGCAATCCTAGCTAAACGACAAGTAACTCGGTTCGCTATATTCGACGGAATAACACTTACAAATGCACAAGCCAGGTTTTTGCAATTTGCTAATTTATATATGTATATTCAATCGCATGTATTATATGCTACACGCTCGGACCGTGTCTCTAGGGGAAGCGGGTGAATCGGCAGGGTTTACGGAACATGTTAATAAACCTCACCATCTCTGTTTTCTAGTGAATGTTGATGTTGGTCACAGTTTGTTAACATGATGTTGGCTGTTTTTACTGAACGTGCTCAAAGTCAAACTTTCCGTGACACAGACTAGTTTCCGACCGATTTGTCGACTGACGAAATCCCGTGTGATGACACACGGGTCTTTATCATTTAAATAATGGAATTATTCGATAACATAATAGCAGGAGTGGATAATAGAGACTCTATTATCCACTCCTGATAATAGACTTAGGAGGGAGAAGACACCGAATGCAGAATTACTGCTTAAGTATAGTCGATCTGAGGGCAGGTTACTGTGGTGTCTCGGCGCGAAGTCACCATCGTGTTGTAGTTCTGCACTAAATGTCTCCGTGTCATCAACTCTGGGTTGTCAGAAATAAAATGAGTTTAACATTTATTCTTGGCATCGACTTTTCCACATAGAGCGGACCTCTCAACATGACGTGTGAGAAACTCATAACTTCACTGTCTCTCTCTGTTAACGGTTTACGTGTAATAGTCAGTGTTATGATCAACGTTAAATGCAATTTTGATTCTGACAAGGTGTCCCTGTGTGTGATACCGAGTGACTTATGCTCACTCTAATTAAAGCTGCTTGAAAAAGTTTCGACGAACAAAATTATACGCTCACGCGATCGACGGCATTGAACACAATAAAGAACACAAAAAGATCAAAGTTCAATTATTAAGTTTTTTTTACAGTTTATTATAGTTTTATTGTCCTGTTTACATGATGGTGATAGTAAAGCGCGAGGTTAAAATAGGAAAAACGAACAAACGAACGAATTGACACAACTCACTAGCCATCGCTTAACAAAATATCAACTAGTTCCTATATCGTCGTCGTTGCAATGGCGCCGACTCATTTTTTTCGCTTCTAAAAATCATTTCTAAGCAATGCGAGGCGGCGGCGGAGGCAGCTTGCAGCGGCCTTGCTTTTGGGCAATTAAATAAAACAAAAACACTGCCACTAAAGCTCACCTAGCGTGCGCGCGGGGGGGAGGGGGGCGTGTTCCCGCGACAGCGCCACCTATCCGTGACCACCGGCAGACGGTTTCTCGCGCGACGAAAAAAACATGCGGAGGCGACGAAGCCAACGAGGTAAATGCGCCCGAATAATCACGGCGGAGCGTCCGCCAGATCGTTGAAGAACCGACAAGCGTACATATCGTTTATTTTGTGTTGTTATTGTTTTTTCTCTACACATTCACGTCCACTGGTATGTATGTATGTATTAACGATCGTAACGGCTACGTGCTCGCGTACGCCCCCCTGGTGGCGATCGCCCGCCGCGCGAGGCATCGCGGAGTCTGCCGACATCGCTCCGGTACGAACGAAGCCTCGGTTGCCGTGGCGATGCGCGCCCGCTCGGACGAGAGACTGACGAGAGTGCGGTTACACGTATAGCGGCGGTGCGGTCGTCGCCGCGGCAACAGCAGCGGTCGCTGAAGCATCCTCTACTATCGCGCGACGATTGTGAATCTGTACATGGATGCAGCGCCGCGAGCGCGCGCGCACGCAGGACAATCGGGGGGCGAGCGACGCGCGACGTCGCCGCGGTGACGTTGCCGCGGCAACCCCGCGCGCGCGATCTAAGGGAGGTCGTCGTTCTCTCTACAGGAAGTAGTCCGGTGTACGGCGCGTCACGTGAGGCTCTCCTCGGCGCGGTGCCGGGTCGAACTGTAGGCTGTAAGAGGAAGAAACAAGCGAACGTTCAACGACGGCGAGCAACGTTGGCAATGGTACATCGGTGAGAGAGAGAGCGTCCGGAGAGAGAGAGGCAGAGAGAGAGGAGAGAGAGAGACGAGAGAGAGAGAGCGAGAGCACGAGAAGAGACAGAGAGAGAGAGAGAGAGAGAGAGAGAGAGAGAGAGAGAAGAGAGACAGACTAGAGAGAGAGAGAGAGAGATGGCAAAAGAGATAGGCATTAGCTCCGCTTCTGCCCAGCATCTTTCATAAGAGTTGTACTACGCCAAACAATACCATCCACAGAGGCGTCCCGTCCACACAACACTGCCGGCACAAGAATATACCACAAGTTCTACCGCGTCAGGGAAAAAATTTACATTTTATTTTTCGCGAGGCTACTTTTCAAGCTCGCGTGCATGAAAATAGCACTGCTAATTTCGGTTGCATTGAACTCTATCAATATTACACGGTGTGTTGTGCCGTGTGTGATGTTGCCGTGTGTGACGCCGAGCCCCCGTGTATTTTTTTTCACGCTCCGGCGTGGTGAAATAAGAGAGAAGCTGTCACTCGTGTGGAACCTCCCTGAAGTCTGTCCACATGCACCTAATGTCGGCTAGTGTGTCTATAGACGGCGACAGACTCCATGCAACCAGAATATCTGCAAAAGACATTCAACGACTCAACTATCAGATGCGTCAGCAATACTCACCACAAGCACGCACATGCCACACACCACAGCACGCCGCACACACACGACGCACGCACGCACACGACACACACACACACACACGCCACACACACACAACACACACACACAACACTACACACAACACACACACATCGTAACGCACCACGCACATGCACCACACACAACGCACGCACACACACACACATCCACGCCACACAACACACGCACGCACAAACACACAGCAACGCACACACACGCCACATACCGCACGCACCACACACATGCCCACACACCACTTACACACGCACAATGCACGCGCACCACGCACGCACCACACACTATGCAACACACACACACCACATGCACGCATTCCACGCGACAGCACGCACGACACCACACACACACACACACGCATGCCACACAACGTCACACGCACGCACCACGCACGCACCACACACACACACCACGCACGCACAGACGCGCGCGTCGTTACCTGATCCATCCACAGTGGCCGTGTGACGTACTATATCGAATAGCGTCGGTGATATAGTTCACACGGTTAGCGTTGCGTATGGCGATAGGCATCATCGTTAGAAGCCGTACACCTGCGTGATCTGTCTCGACTCGTGGTGCCACGCAGATCGTATTGATGCAGGTCCTTGAAGCTACCTGCGTGCGAGACATGAGACAGACGATTATATATACCATACATGTATATATATACCATACTACATCAGGGCATATAGATAGTCGATAAACAATACTATATGTCAGGTCGCCGACTCGGCGAGCGAACCTGCAAGCCGGGAGAGGCCGAGGCGGTGCAGAGAGACCAAGAAGCGTAAGGAAGAGAAAACGCTCAGTCAACGCTGGCCGTGAGCGTCGTTAGCTCGACACGACTCAGCGGCGCGACGCTGCCAGCCACGCCCATCGAACTCTCGTCCTTAGACACTCTCGCCCACTTCCACGAAAAACAGCGCAGAAATAAACGCGACATCGCAGAGTCATGAGTGGCTGTGCCGAACACACGTTGTGTGACTGACGCCGTTGATGTGATACGATTCATATAATAATATATACTATACATTTATTAGGGTTAATATACAAATTTTCATTATAACCCTGATTAATATATAAACATATATGCCACATATATATGTATGCCCGCCCGGCCAGGCACCAGCGCCAGAAAACTACGGCGATCACACAGTAAGTGTTGTCAATCGGGTTGCTAATTTCGCTAATTGATCATCGGTTGCCACCAGTAACGATGATCGGTTTCACAATCGGTTACTTCAGGTGTTGAATGCCTGCGTGGTGCGTACGTCGTGTGCCATTATGTGCTTGTTTAGCCCTGTTTATTGTTTGTTTGCAATGTTTACTACTCGGCCTGTTATAAATACATGACATTAAGAAAGGATAACTTGTTATAGTAGCGATCGATATCTCTAATTCTCATACTTTTCCAGTTTCTTGGAATTGAAAAAAAAATTTCTTTTTTCATGAAACATCAGATTATAGGATTTTGAAACCACAGCGCTGGTCGAGCACACTGCTATCAACGATGATCGAGTATAATCGAATGATCGTGACATCACTAATCACAACGAAATCATATCTCGTGCTCTCTCTCTCTCTCTCACGTGCGCTCTCACCTTCAATGAAACTAGAAGGGTGACGGTCTCCACGGAGTAGTAGCCTCTGTCAACATAGTCGCCCATGAACAGATAGTTTGTGTCAGGCGACCGGCCGCCGATCCTGCAATCACAACAACAACAACAACGTCACAACGACTTCACAACAACAACAACAACATCACAACAACAACCACAACAACAACAACATTACAACAACAACAACGTCACAACGACTTCACAACAACAACAACAACATTACAACAACAACGACTTCACAACAACAACAACATCACAACAACATTACAACAACACAAACATTACAACAACAACAACAACAATGACGACATCACAACAACAACAACAACAACAACATCCCAACAACGATGACGACGTGACAGGGAGGAGGGCACTCTGACGGAGGATTTGCTTGCTGTCACAACACTGCGAAGACCGGGATACGGTTGGGTGCCGGCTCACGCTATATTCATTTTTTTACACATAAGTGTAAAGTCGTTCCTTCACACCACGGGCTCGAATATAAGATACTATCGAGCCTACTGTGTACTGCCAATTGCCGGCAGTCCCCTATCAATCGCGCGTACTGCCCTGGAAAACAACCCTTGCCTTTCTGTATTGCCGCCGGGTCTCTGGTTAGGAACTGTTCCGCGCACACTGTTGTCGCAGAAGCGTGTACATTGTCTAGCCAGAGCGTCGAGCGGATGTCCATTCTACCCTCGCGCAAAAACAATTAACCGTAAAGCTGGCTTGCTGCCAACCGCGCCCAGTAGCACGATCATAAATCGGTTCCCTGCTGTATGCCCGGGCTAGAATACGAAATTAAATGCTGCACGTGGACCGGCCCGCGCGCGATTATAAAAGCGCGGGAAACGACGCTCGGCAAGAATGCAGCTTGATTTGCCTACGGTGTTAGCTTGCTAAGTGCCTTACCAATTATGAGAAATTTTAGTAGAATTCATACCGATGACACAAGATTATTCATAACAATGCGCTTCGCGCGTCTGCGGCCTTAGAAAGTTAGCGTCAGCGCCTCAGTGGTTTTTCTCAGTACTAGCCCGACTCGTTAGCCGAAATAAAATTAACGTTGAAACCTGATTACATTGTACTTCCATTAAGGCAGAGGTGATGTATCTAATGGTTATGAGTTTTCCATTGTATTTTACAAAAACTTGCCTGGGTGACCTTCTCACAATTGTGAGAGTTGACCTGATGCCTGTTTTAAATGCCTCGCTGCCCATCCATTTTAGAAAAATTCAAGCAATGTCTCACATGCCCCTAAAAAATTGCCTTCGCCCCTCTCGTCACGTCAGTTCGAGCGCTCCCGACACTATCTACTGAGAATGCATGCTAGTCGAACATCCAGTTAGTCGCCCTCCGCTTTTCGCCCTGTGCCGAACGCCTGCATCATCG